TGCTGCATTTCTTGCTTCATCCTCACTACTGCCTCCTCTAGCTTTTCATTCTGCAAGTGATTAATTGATAAGTTTGGTACACTAGGTGGCATAAGCATCTGTTTCAGTTACTGTTGTCTACAGAGCTAGACAGCCAGTGTGGTAGATGAGTTAAATGCTGCAGACTGATAGAAAAATACAATTTTAAGGCAAAGAAATAATAAAAAAATATCACCCTTTGCTCGTAGTGAGTGAAGAGCCTCTTTTGATGTTTTTCCTGGTACTTTATAACCTGGGAAAACGCAGAATAAGTGCTGTTTTTGCAAGTTCTGCATTACACTATTGCATTTAAATCTCCATACATTTTAGATATATTTAAATGCTATACAGCACAATTGTTTACAGGTCACTGGTGATATACAATCGGATTATAGGTGTTTATATGAAGCAAGAAAATGACTGAACTTGGCTGATTTCCGTTAAGTGCTTGGCTGCCACCACCTTGATGTTTGAGAAAAGGGCCTTCACACCAGGGCTGCTCTGAAACAAGCACATTTAACATAACTCTAATGACAGCAGAATATTCAACTTTTAATAGTCTGATTATTAATGTGGCTATCCCACCCCAACACCCACGGTTAACTGGGGATTTCATGAGAAAAGAGTGCTTACTTTGTCAGACAGTGGTGACAGTTGGCATTTAGCGTTGCAGATTAAACAGCTGCCTGGTTGGCCTGAAAGAAAGATTATATTTAAACCAAAATTACAAAGTCAAGAATATAATGGTGGATCGCAAGGATCGGAAGACATGGAAGGACTTAAAATTAACATTAAGGGTTTCTGTCTGTGAAACAAAATCAGTTAAATGGCTTTGTCTAACCACGGGAGACAGACAAAGTCAAAGAAAGTCTGATTAAGGTGAGACCAATCATGAACAACTCCAGGGCTAATGAATAGTGATTAAAGGACCTCCAGGAGTACCATCCATTGGTGAATGGTGTAATTTCACTCTCAATTTTTGAATGAAACATATAATCACAGAGAATCACTGGTTTTCTTTATAATATAACAATCTCTAACACTGATATTTAATCTATCTTAAACATAGATCCCTAGGGAGATCCTTTCCTTTAGAGACAACTTAGAAACATGCAACACTCAGTGCAAAAAATAAACAATCAGCTCTGCAATATCACTTAGAGCCCAACAGATGTCCCTGTCTAATCATACTTTCATTTGCTGGGGAGTAGGAAGGCTGTAGACTTGGTGCTTAAATATATGCAGGTATTCCAAACAGTGATTGTTTTGACTGTGTTTGCAACAAAACTGTTTATGTACCTCTCTGATAACCTCTCTGATGACAATCACTACAGATGACATGGCCACAGCTTGTGACCGCCAGTTTGCGGTCAGCACTTTGAGGAAGAAAGCAGGAATTGCAGCAAACCCAGGAAGCCATTTCAAAACCTGCAGGAAAACAAGATCAGGTGAGGAGTTAATGAGCTAATTTAGCTAACGTTCTTTGCTAAATTACGTTTATGAATTAGCATATTTAGCTAAACGGTCTCCTAACTCTTATTTACACATGTGTATTAAAATAGTTGCTGCATATCTTCTATATATAGTTCGTTTTTACAGCCATATTTCATTAAGGTTTATTAGATAACTATATTTATTACTTTGAAAACCTTGTGACTGCTAGTGAAGCTAAAGGCTAATTTAGCTTATATTAGCTCTGTCCTACTCCTAGAGTCATTAATGGTTAATATATGTCCTCACTGCTTATAATAAAGGTAACTTCACCTTTTCGCTGATGGTCAATTGTTGTTGAAGCTGTTTGTCCAACTTCTAACTTAAATTGCTGAAAACCTGTAAATACCTATTTAAGATTATGCCTGTTGGACATTTGAACACCAGGTAAGCTATGAGTGAAATGCATCATAATCACATGATGATTCTTATGCTATTAGCTTATATTTTCTAAAACCATAGTACGTAATTATAACACATTCAACCTTTGTAAACATTGTGTATATTTTCCTAATTGCTGGCTACGGTTTTCACCTTATTTAGGGCAAAGTTGCAGTAATATAAATTATTATATTGAGTTAATGTCACACAAATCAAAGATTACAATGACCTAATGCCTCAAACAATATTTTATTCAACAAAAAATATTGCAAAAAAAAACAAAACAAAAAAAAACAATTTTGCAAGCACTATTCCAAGTTTTTATGCAATTTTTTCACATTTTAATTAGCAAAGGATACAGTTGTGCTCTGAAGTTTACATTCATTCATCGTGGTCATGAATGTCATGGTAACTTTGGACTTTTAATCCTTTCTTTGAACTGTTCTTTTTCCAGAGTGAAAAGCATACATCTTTAAATACTTTCAAGCTCTATGCACCCAAATCTTGGTTTTATTTATTTATTTAGGATTTTCTGTAATCCACGGCATCAAGAGAAAACACGCAGGCTCAAATATATGTCCACATTCATTTAAGTGCTTTAATAAACGGTGCTAAATGTTTTATGCTGTATTTTAACTTGACAAGACCAAAGCCAGTTAACTTTTGTGATCATGATTAACTACAACTGCTAGTTTCTCTTTTTAGCATAAAAAAGATTTGATTGACACCACTGATTAGATTGACCAATGAGAAAGTCCAAGGAACTCAGATTTAAACATGAGAATTGTAGATTTACGCAAGTTGGGAAGATCTTTGGAAATGATTTCTAAACAACTGGAGTTTCCAAGATCATCAGTTCAAACAATTGTACACATGTTATTTGGATGTTTCACCACTTTTTCACTCTGAAAGAAGACGCAAACTGTCATGAAAGAAAATTGGTTAGGATGTTGAGGAACAACCGGGGGAATGAGGATCAAGCCTGCCACGAACTGGAAACTGCTGGAAGACTAGTGTCACTGTCAACAGTGAAGCGAGTTTTATATCGCCATGCATTGAGAGAATGCCAATCAAGAAAGAAGCCCTGACTCTAATATGAACTTTAATTTTGACTTAAATTAAGAACTAAGAACACTACCAGCTAACAAGCATGAGGTGGTAGCCTCATGTTCTGGGTCTGTTTTGCTGTCAGTGGTACTGGTACATTGCAAGTGGGTGAAATAATGAAGAAGAAGGCCTACCTCCAAATTCTTCAACTTTACCTCAAATCAGCAACTAGATGGTTGAATGCAATTGGGTGTTAGAACAGGAGAGTGATCCCAAACACATCAAAACTGGTTTTGGAATTGATAAAGCAGGCTAATATTAGGTCTCTGGAGTGGCCTTCCCAAAGCCCTGACCTCAACGTTATTGAAAATTTGTGAACTATGCCTAAAAGCTGAATCTTTGCCAAGAAAGCAATCGATCTACAAGACGTCTACCAATTTAGCCAAGTAGAGTGGTGAAATAGCCAGCCAAAATTATACCTTCATGGCTACAAAAAGTGGCGGATGCAATTTGAGAAGGTTTCTTGCTAATCAAATATGATTGGGGGTATATGTATATATTTGATCCAACATGTATAATTGTGACCCTGAATGGATTAAAGAAAATCCAAAATAGATTGAAACTTGAGCACCCAATTTTTGATTATAATCGTTAAAAATGTGTGCTCCACAGTCATTCCACAGTTCACAGAAATCACTAAAACCCCAGATCACCACAACTCCATGCCCATGGCGAAAGTATGTACTTCATACCACAACTGTATATACAATAGTCTTAAACACCATACTCTAGAGCATTGCACCAGCTGTTTGGTAAAAACTGGCCTTTTTATTAAGCATTGCAGCCCTACAGCACTCAAACTTCACTGGTACGGGTGTGTGAAATAAAAGTAAAAACAATGAGGCTGGTCAAAGTTGTTCATCAGACCAGTTTCTTCTCGATGAAGAAGTCTTTGAGTCTTTTCATCTGCCAGAAACCAACCACCAGCAGAATGGAGGTCTGCACTGCAGCCCACCACAACACTTTGCTGTTGGTGTTCTCAGTGATCTGACGAAATACCTCCTCCTTCTCCTGAATGACAACAGGCAACAAAATAAAAAGAAAGAGAGAAGAATAGAATTGATAACCTGTTATATGATGTAATTTTACCATTTTACAATGAATATATTCTCCTTCATTGGTAGCATTGGAAAAAAGTACTTCAAGATTCTTGACGTAAAATGAAACTTATATCTGATATACTGGTCTCCTTACTGTATTTCAGGTTTAAACAACTGTTAAGACAGTGCAGTAAAATATTTATTTACTCTTTGGAACTCCTGCTGCCTGGTAATGTGAATCATCTGCTCCGTCAGGTGTCTAAGACTGTTCTCCAGGGCCTCCATGCTGTCCTTGGTCCTATCAGTATTGTGACCAACTGTGAACTCTCCCATTTGTACATCCAAATGTAGCTTCTGTGTAGCAAAATCGATAAACAGAAGTTAATGTTAACTATTAGTCAGTGTTTAAACGGGGAGTCCATTTATGTATTTTGCTTTGTTTTGAATAACGTTTGTTCTGTGTGTCCACATTTCTCACCAGACGTTCACGGGCAAAGACAGAAAAACTTGTCAAGTTTGTTTTAAAGCAAAGAAGATGCTGAGCAGAAGTGTGAGCTGTGAAGGTGAATTTACCAAATTTCCCATATCGCTTGGACAAAACAATCTGAAAAGTAGGAAAGTTACTATTATTATTAGGCTGTAATAAGCACTTGTTTTTGTTTATTTGTTTCTTTTTAATTTCGAAAGATACATATTTTTAGTGTAACATCACGTGAAGACATTCAAGTATCGTTTGAGTCCAGTACCTCACTGTTTGAATCTTTTACTGTCACAGTGAGGCCAAGTTGAGGTAATTTTGATAACGCCTTCACATCCCAAGGCTCCAAAAGAAAAAAGCCTAAAGGTAAGAGACACACACATGAGTGCAGACATATACACAAACAAAATTACACACACAGTAACTGCAAAGACCCATAGCAAACTTGCAAGATTCGTGACATATGCTTATGATAAGATTGATCATTTCCAGTTTGTTTATTCTGTGGTTATGAAAACTCACCGTAATCATTAAAAAGTCTTAAATAGTCTGCGATTAACATCAAGGAAAAAAGATCTGAGAAATGTTAAGTAATGTAAAGTATCGCAAAACACACATCCAGCTCAGTAAATATGGAAAACTGCAGAGAGAATCACTGAACTGCCGTGTGGTAAATAAGAACCAAATACAGTTTGTTTTAGCGACTCTCAGGTAGCTGTGTACCCAGGTGTTATTACTTGGTTATACATCCTTAAATACACTGCTTTTTTATGAGGTTCTTTCGTGAGGAGATCTTAAAAAGCACTCATTTTGATTTCCAACTCCATGAACCTTGCAGTTGGTGGAATGCTCTTTATATTTCTGTCTTTATTGTATCCATTTAACTACTGGATACATTGAAAGTGTTTCATTTAAAACAAGGCTTGAATAGCTTTTTATGGTTTTTGCACTTGCTCAAATTAGAAACGTAATATTGTGCATGTAAAGCTACTGTGTGATTCAAAAATCACATGGTTTTTAACATTTGTAAATAATTACATTCACCCTCAATCACTGATTCCACTTTTATTGCTATGATTGGGTATCATAAATGATACTCAGGAGGACTTTTCCCCATCTAAAACACTCACCGGTCACTAGTGTGTCTTCAGGAATCTCCTCAATGATGCATTTCTCCTCCTGCACTCCAAGATGAAAAAACATGGCAGCAGCCAGCATCAGGTAACACTGAAGGAGAAAGCCAGTGCCTTGCAAACCCATTTTATGTTAACAGCAAACTATTCGATTACACTTAACAGTGACCTAATGCTTTGCCTGCAGTTCCAGTAGAGCCTTTATGTAGATCTGCAAATTCTAGCTCAAGTTTGAGGTTTTTTCCATCTAATGATGTCCATATGTGAGAGTGTGAGAAACTCACAGGTGCTACTTTGTGTGACAAGTTATTCTGGTAATTTTGTAACTGGTTAACCTGGCGACCAATAGAAAAG